GCTGACTGAGTGATTTATCCCTCTGTATGTGGACTTTATATGAGATTTATAAGTAACTTGTCGAAGTGATTTACATGCATTAAATGCTGTGCTGCCTTCATAAGGCAAATGCGTGTGCCATACAGTTATCAGTAATTTTTGTGAAGAAAGTGAAAGCATGTCTCCCTTGGAAACAAGAGATCTGCATCTTGTGCTGTTGTGAAAATTCTATGGAGAGTGGTCTCCAATCTTCACTTAGCATGCTTCTGATTTGTGAATCTCTTTCACATCGTTCTGATGTGATTTCCTGGACAATCGGTACTTTAATTTGAGGGTAGTTTATCTTTTGTAAGGTGTTATTTGGGAGAGATTAAATGTCTTTGCAAGATATGCACATATACAAATTGTGACTTTTGGACATTTAAAAACTTGCCATTGGTAGTTTACCTTAAAACTACTATGCAGCTCTAAGCAAAATATCCTACTTTTATTTAAAATAATAATAATAATAATAATAACTGTGTTTTTATTTAATGAGACTATAATCCCATGTAATTCATTAGAGATCAATCTTTGGTGGAGATTATGGTTAACTTACTTTTTCATTTCCTGGCAGGAAACCAAGGAAGCAGCTGCGTGTAAAATCCAAGCAGGTTTCCGAGGAATGAGAGATAGAAAACGAGTCAAAGAAATAAAATCTGGTGTAAGAAGTTGCCTTTAATATCCCTTTAAAATGGTAGAACCTAGTCTGGTTCCATGCTGCTTAGCTTCTGCTCCTTGTAGTGACTGCTACGTAATCTATTACCATACGTCCCATCTGGTCATCTGCAATGCTTTCATATACCAATTTTGCTAGTTGTCCAGCATTAAGTATGGATAATGTACTAATTCTGAATTTTAAGTGTATTTATTTTTTAATTGAAATGTATTTGCAGTTAGTAAACTTTCATCATCGAGTTGACATGTTGGGTGGGAAAGAATACCTTTTTTTACTTGTCTTACTAGTCTTGGGCTGCTTTATTGACATTTTGCAAGCTTCTGAACATACGCTGTAGTGGTACTATTAGATCATGTGCTGATAAACTATCTGTAGCTGTCGGCAATAGAACATTATATTACTGGATACATTTAGATATCCATTGTTAGGCGCTTTATCTGTATTCTACCTGGATATCCCTGTTATAGTTTGGAGGATGTAGCAATGTATTCTCTCTGCATGGGGTTTAATAGGAAAGTTTCCATGTGTATGAGCTAAGCAAATATGGCTTCAGATGTTTTCTCTCAGGGTTTTTCATTATGTACACAATTGTTTGCTGATATATAATTGTTGACATCTCAATGTTTTTCAGTGAGTGGCAAACACATTGCACGGCGTTTATCTTGTTGGCACACTGCTTCTCATTATATTATATTATATTATATTATATTATATTATATTATAGCAGGCATTTAATAGTTTATTCCAGGAAAATTGTTCACACAGAGGGGGTAGAACTGAAAGGACAGTAAAAAAATCACATACAATACAGGGTGTGGGGGAACTAGAAAAATTACACTATACCTTTTTGACTAAACTTTTCAGTTATTTGTTGAATTATTTTCACCATACATGTGTAGGGTGATTTTCAAGAGTCTTAGGTTTCTTGAAAAAGTGTAATGTGATTAATGTGTGATATGAGTGAATTTGAAGAACTGAAAACAAGATAGCCAAGCTTGATGACTAGAGACAGACTTTTTTTTTACTGATGAATATATTGTTGTTTACAATCTACCATTATTTCCCTTAACAGTTCTTAGTACAGTATTTACACCTCTCCATACAACTGATGTCATGTATTCTGAGACATAGATATCATCAATATTTACACCTCTCCNAAATATGGCTTCAGATGTTTTCTCTCAGGGTTTTTCATTATGTACACAATTGTTTGCTGATATATAATTGTTGACATCTCAATGTTTTTCAGTGAGTGGCAAACACATTGCACGGCGTTTATCTTGTTGGCACACTGCTTCTCATTATATTATATTATATTATATTATATTATATTATATTATAGTATAGCAGGCATTTAATAGTTTATTCCAGGAAAATTGTTCACACAGAGGGGGTAGAACTGAAAGGACAGTAAAAAAATCACATACAATACAGGGTGTGGGGGAACTAGAAAAATTACACTATACCTTTTTGACTAAACTTTTCAGTTATTTGTTGAATTATTTTCACCATACATGTGTAGGGTGATTTTCAAGAGTCTTAGGTTTCTTGAAAAAGTGTAATGTGATTAATGTGTGATATGAGTGAATTTGAAGAACTGAAAACAAGATAGCCAAGCTTGATGACTAGAGACAGACTTTTTTTTTACTGATGAATATATTGTTGTTTACAATCTACCATTATTTCCCTTAACAGTTCTTAGTACAGTATTTACACCTCTCCATACAACTGATGTCATGTATTCTGAGACATAGATATCATCAATATTTACATCTCACTTTACAACTCATATCATGTATTCTGAGACATAGATATCATCAATATTTACACCTCTCCATACAACTCATATCGTGTATTCTGAGACATAGATATCATCAATATTTACA